TAATGGACTGTACCCATACCTGTGTAAATTGACAGGGAAATATCACTCAATATCACTATAGAATGACCAAGTGTGAACAGAGTACTGCAGTAAATGTATATGTACTGGTACAGTAGCTTAGGATATCAGTGTAATGTACGTGTACTGGCACATATAGAAGGAGAGAAGCTGCAAAGTTAACTGTTCCGATGAAGGGGAAAGGAAAGAGAAATGGTATTCATTGCATGTATCGATACTGCCCTAGGTTAAATGGGTACATGAAGCTGTGCTCCCACAGATTACTGTCTTGATTCAGCATGAATGGTGTTGGATTTCTGATAGCCAGAGTTGACTGATGGTAACATGTTGCCCTTGAAGCTTGACCTTTGCCACAGACCTGTCTCCCTTTCTGTCATATTGTATCAAGTTCTAGTCAAGTGGGCCCCCAACCCTGGGCTATATTCAGATGAAAGGTATGCAACTTGAGCGTGAATTCAAACAAAATTGTGGGTGTTGTTCTGAATTAACTTCATGTGACAGAGAAGGTCAGCATTTGTTGAATACTGTGTAATGAAACTCACCTAAGGATAAAAGGAGTGCTTGAAAAATGTACCCAGTACATACACGTAGGTTAAGATGAAATTTTGTAATTTTAGGAGCTTGTTCCATATGCAAAGTACACATTTTTCACACTGTAGTGCTTTTGTTAACGTATTGAAAATTCAGCTCACGTGATCATCAAATACACCAAAAAGTGTTGGAAAATTCTGCTAATTCATGCAGATCTCACCTCCCGTAACATTGCATGTACAGTGTACGTGTACATGGAGCTTGATGGCCATTGATACATGTACGGTAATTGTATTCTGCCATTGCATCCCTATCACAGTTTGGATACAATATACATGTACATGTATGTGGGGGATTCATGAAGGTTCCTTAAACTGCAGTTGGGAATACGTTTCATTTTGCTGCTCTGGTAACCTCTGGAACAGCTTTGACCAAATAGAAACTGCATGTATGTGTACCAGTACTCTACATGTACATCAATTTAATTCATGTGCTTAACATAAACCACATTACTAAAATATTCCCCAAAACCTTGTTTTTGAATTTTATATTACTACATCAAAATACAAGTTGTACAAATGATATTTCTTTCAAAAAGCAGTGGTTTTGTGCTGGTTTCCAGTCTTGGATAACTACCAGTACCTGTTTCTTTTATTCCCAAATTATCTTATCCTTGCTAAGGCTCCATTTTGCAGCTCCAACCCAGTTTTTTAATTGTGTGTCCATACAACTGCCTGTTGCTTTTACCATGCTTTCCATTCATCCGAATGCAGTCTCATCCAAACCTGTTTCCCTCCACTGCAGCACTTTCCTACACATTCCTTTCTTCCAGGGATCTGGCAATTCTTTTATTGAATTCCACAAAGGGATGTTTAACCGCCTCAAACACAGGAATAAAGACAGGACAATAGAATCTGTGGAGTGTACACATCAGACCGCTGAGCTGAACACAGCATATCCAGCCATTATTCTACCCGTTCTCTGTCGTTTTTTGCACTCAGTACCCCATGAACAGCCTCTATAATAATGAATAACAAAACCAGAGCTGTAAACTGTAAACCATACAACCCTGGGAAGTCCTAATGCATAAAAAGATTCACAGATACTGAGTAAGCTTCCATGGTGTTAAGTCTCACCTCAGGCGAGGATTTAAACAGTTACCCAACACAGTGGCAAAACTAGTTTTTTCCACCCTTCAGTAACTTTGTTGGGGGTTTCTTGCGGTCTGGTTTTGATGAATCATTTGAGTTTGACCTATTCAAAGGATGAACACTAAAATGTTTGAAGACATGCCCATTTTTGGTGCAACGAAAATTGGTTTGAGATTATTTGCTAGGAGCAATCATGAACTGAAATTCGTGACTTATGAATCTGCTTTTTCTTTTCACGTGCACACCCACTCTAAAAGAAAGGTACATTTACCATGTCTCATCAATAAATTGGTTTGTGATACAAGTTACATACACTGTACATGTGCACGACATTAATTTGCAGAAATAAAAGTAATGCATGTTCTACCGATACTATTTTCACATTGTTCTTGGAGACATAAGATTGTTCATGTACATGTGCCCGGTACCTGTACACGCATATATGAGGGCATTATACTGCAAGTACATGTAAGGAAAAGGTATGAGACATCTTGTGCAAGATGAAGACCATCCTTTGTGCTTGGTGAAGACCAACATGCAATAAATTGAGGCATTACAATTTACAGTACATGCCTTTTAAGTATCAGGTTGTGCGTTAAAATACTTAGAACTTCTTGTACTGATAAAATGAATGCAAGCAAGATTATTCAATGAAATGGATTTCCCACGTTTTCTTTATGTGTCTCAATGATGAATGCACATGAACAGCTTGAGTTTATATGTGTAATTTGCAGTTCTCAGTGAAATGAACAGTGTCACTTTGTTGTTTACAGTGTCAGCTGTGGTTGGGCAGCAGATTCCAGCATCGTGTGAGGAAGGTAGCTGCTATACTGGTAACCTTCTCATTGGACGTGAAGACAGACTTTCAGTCACCTCAACATGTGGCTCCAGGAGGGTCGAGCGCTACTGTATTGTCAGTCACCTCCAGGATGTTAAAAAGTGCTTTTATTGCGACTCGCGGACCCCCTATGAGAAGGGCGTGAACGAGCTCAGCCACAGGATTGAGAACATTGTCACCACCTTCCAGGGTGAGGACCGTAAGAAGATGTGGTGGCAGTCGGAGAATGGTGTCCAAGAGGTGTCTCTGCGCTTTGACCTAGAGGCCATCTTCCACTTCACTCATCTGATAATGACCTTCAAGACATTCAGGCCCAGGGCACTTGTCATCGAGCGGTCCGCCGACTTTGGTCGGACTTGGAGCGTTTACCGTTACTTTGCTTATGACTGTGAGGAGTCTTTCCCTGGTGTCCCCACAGCTCCATTGTATAACATCGATGATGTGATTTGCGAGAATCGATATTCAGCTGTGGAACCTTCAACTGAAGGAGAGGTATGTGAAATATCTCAATCAGTTTTGATATGTGAACTCATTTTGGTTTATGTGGACCTTTTAAGTTGTATCACTGTTTTCCTCCTTTTGTAGAAAAAACAAATCACATCTCTTTTTTTCATGGCCACATTGAAGTATTTTCACTGCCATGATGCTCCCTCCCTCTTACAGGTCATCTTCAAAGTCCTCCCACCTAACATCCGCATCGACAATCCCTACAGCGATGACGTGCAGGACATGATCAAGATCACTAACCTGCGCATCAACTTCACAGAGCTGCACACCTTGGGTGACATTGAGCTGGACAACCGCCAAGAGATTCGGGAGAAATACTACTATGCAATCTATGACATGGTGGTCCGGGGGAGCTGCCACTGTTATGGGCATGCCACCAGCTGCATCCCTGCTGAAGGTGTAACCTTCAAGGAGGGAATGGTAAGTCGATTGTACTTTACATGTTGTTTTCTGTTTTGTGAAAAATTAGTAGATGCCAGTTTCACACCTATTGGTTCTGGTATGCTGTATTGGTGCTCTGCATGCTGTCTACATTTGGTACTGCTTTTCTTGTGATGACACAAGTCAGAAATGGTTGAAATCATGCTTTTCTTTAGAAACTCAGTTTTAAATTCAGTTGCAATTATTTTATTAGAAAAAGTTGGAGAATATCAAGTACACGTAAATCGGGATTAGAAACTTGACATTGGAAAAGAAAGATTCACCCAGAGTAACTGCATAGGTAGACACAGCTATTGACTACCCTATAGGCCCAGTGGTAGTGTTGCTGAAGGGATTCCAGCCCATAGTGTGCCAAATATTCCCATATTGCTGGTGCCTGTAAGTAAACTGTGATATATCTGATTCATTGCTTGTCTCCTATGACAGGGCCAGTGTTTCTCCTGGACTGTTAGGGATTTACATGTACACTCCTTTGACAGGCTGATGTAAATATGATGTCAGTGAGCTGAAATCAAGGAATGTTGGAATTCAACCCTAGAGCTGTGGATTCAATTACAAGACTTAATGCTAACAATATGTTGGCACATGTGTGGATTGAAACCTTAGGGATGAATCACATTTATTTCCCCCAAAATATTTGAAAAGCCTGGAGAGTGCTGTTGTAACATCGAAACGATTTTGTTTGTGGCATTTCTAAGTGCATGCATAAATTGCAAACATGTAAAAGAAATTTTCTGTCAGAATTTTCACCCACTTCCTTTCCCAACAGGGAAAAAGCAAGAGTTGTCAAAATTGCAACTCTGACTTGCAAAGCGAAGAACCATTGTGCAAACTTTTGCTGTGAATCTTAAAATATTCTATAGACACTTTGGAATTACGTGCACAAACTAATCTTCCTTGATGAAAATAGATGCTAAATAACAGGACATTTGTTAACCAAACTTCAACTAACCTTTTCTTTAGGAGGTTGTGCCTATTTGTGGCTAGTGGTTACACAACATGTACAGCAGGTCAACCTTAGTAGGGTTTTAATAATATGTAAGGGTCAGTACATTTCTGTTGTGTTCACAAGACCTGTTGACCAGTGGAACTACGTTTACGATGGCTGGGTCAGTTTAAGTAAACACTCCTATTCTTACTCCCCAAGTCTGTCCTTTTGTCAAGAACACCGCCCCTTCCCAAGTTCAGTTATGGTCATATGCCATAGCTTTGACTTTAGTTTTGAAATTACTGGCAAACTGGAGGCTGTTGTGCATTTCACTCAGAGTTTGGGCTCCCTAAAAAGACAGATGTTCACAGATGTGAACTTTACCCTTTTGCTTCCATGTTTTGAACAGTAATTCTGCACATAAGTGGAAGGCTCACTGTATGAACAGTAGGCAGAGCGGGTCAGTAAAACGTATTTCACCTTCAGTGTATGTCTGTGTTCATCTCATGCATACACATACATGTATGTACATGGATCATGTTACCGACTGAGACATTAACGTGTACAGGTACATGTAGGCCTATGGAGTCTACGCACGAGTCCGACACCTCATATGTGTATCTGACTCCTCAAAAATCTCATCCCCGACCAAATACGGGCTCATAAGCCTGACACCTCATAGCTCGGACCTCTCATGGGTCTGATATGTGACAGGTTGAACGATTAAATTTACTTTTATTTTGGTCCATAAGTCTGACTTCTTATAAGTTTGATGCCATGTTTTTCTAGCCTCAGACTTACGAGGCATCAGAGCTGTGAGCCTGAATCTGATGCTTTATTTTCCAAAATGTTGCACTTAATGTATGAGACATCAGACTTACATGTAAAAGATGGGGATCCCTCCCCTTAAATGGATGTAATGTCTGTTGATGGACTGGCAAGCTACTGTAGCTTGGACAGTACTCTTTACCGTAATCTCCTGTTTGCTGCCAGTGCACATGTCTTTTCTAGTCCAGGCTGGTCCTACATGTATTTAAAGTAGGTAATTGCTAAAAGGATAGACCAAAATATTCAAATTTGCTGCTACCAGATGCCCAAGTAAATTAGCCCTGTCCACACTGGATCTTTTTGAGTTAAAGTTACCTACATGCAGACGACGGTTACTTTTCCCATTTTTAAGTCCAGTGTGAAAACATCCCGGGATATTTTCCTCTCGGTTACTTTTACCATAGAGCTATGCTTTTACTGAGCTGCACGGTCATTTTTACCAGCAAATTTCTGCCCTGGAAGAATTCCCCAGACAATTTTTCCGGGACAGGAAGTCCAGTATGGACAGCTTGAGTTGCTAAAAGCATGGAAAGCGACCCAGTAGAGTGTACATGTATGTCCGGCCTGAGCATGCTTCATGCAGGGAAACTACACATGTGCATTAGACGTTTCGCCACAGTGTGGTATGTGGCAAATATTTCCAGTAAATTTGTTCCTCGTGGTCCAAGTCATGGCAGAAATTATTATTGATACAGTTGGAAGATGAACTGGTGCTATGAGTGCACCATTTCCGGATAATAATGAGGACTGTAACATTATTTCTAAAGGATGAAATGAAATGCAGAAAGGTCATGCAAAGTGCCATCATAAATCTTTGCTCTGACAGCTCAGTTAATTCTCCTGCGGTCTCGGTAAAATTTTCTGGTGTTGAAACTCCAACCGCAGATGGACGTTGTTCACATTGGACCATTTTGATTAGACCATCGGCTCGGTAATATCCTCGGAAGAAATGCAGTGGGAACACATCTTTTCGTGCAACCTTTCTTAGAACAGGGAGCATGCAGTGCCTTGATAAATTACACTGATGAAGGACAAACTAAGTTCTGCATCAGCACAGTAGACATGCCATATATGTACATGTACATTACTATGTACTGTACACACTTGTTATGGTATAATGGCAACAGTATTAGGTACATGTATACATTTAAGTAGTTGATTTTCAAATCAAAAAAGATACATATACATGTAATAGTTGGGTTCCCAATCATTAAGGGTCCAGGTAGTGAATTTTTCTAAGAACATTCTAAATGAAGGAGCACAGCATAAAAAAGGGCTTTGACTCGGCTTCATTTCTCATACATTTACATGTTTATGTAACAGAATTTTATTCTCTGTTCTGTTCAATAACTGAATTATTTTTATAGAGAGTTTTCTTGACATTGATAGCCAGGTTAACTGGCTTAACATTATAACATTATTATATATTCATACTTGTAAGTAGACATTATGGATCCCATTCCTTGATATGGGACTCCAGTCTTATGACATTTACCAAGACTTTCCCAGCCGAGAAAGCATTCTCTCTTGTAGAGATTGCCAACATGGTTTTCCAATAACTAACCTGACTGTGAACTTTCTCTAGCATGGCTTCACATCAGTATAAGCACAATATGGTTGTCTGTTTTCTCTCAGTCAGTGCACATGACATGCAGTAATGAAATCTTTAGGGACCTGTAAGTATCCCAACACATGTTTTGTGAAACCGACTGTTGCCATGTGATGACAGCCACACACACCAGATACTGTAAAAAAACTTTCATATACCTCCATAATATCTTGCAGTAGAAGATTTTTACCCCTTTGTCACAGTGCTCCTCTACATGTACATGTACATGGGTTTATCAGCGTTGGTTTGCATTTATTCTACATGATGCCATAGGTTAATCTAGGGCGATGCCACAGTAGAGCACATGGTAGGGCAAACTTGTACAAACATGCACATTTGGAGCAAAAACAAACATGTACATTTGGAGCAAAAAGTTTACGTACACTTGGTAGAAAAATAATTTTCCCAATTTTTTCGCTGTTTGAAATAGTTTTACCAACTTTGTTTTTATGAGCTCAACTTTATGTTCATAGTATATACTTCAATTGAAAATACTCGGAGACATTTACATGTATTATGGTTCAAAATATTAAAAATTCTAAAAAATTTAAATCTACCCCCTTATTGTGGTTAAAAAACATTTCAGAACGTGGTCCACTGTGACTATGAGATGTGACCAAAAATAGAAAGTGGCACTCAATATGGGTTGGAGAATGTAAAATGTAAATATGAATCATATACACATGTACATGTACATCTCTGGGTGTTTTTACTTGACGCATGCACCATGCAGAGACCCATCTTGTCTTTCTTCATGAAATAAAAAGTTGGTAGGAGTGAGTGAAGTTCTGAAATTTAAGAAAAACTGTTTTTATTCAACCAGGTGTACGTAAACCTTTTGCCCCAACTGTACATTACCTGTACCATTACCACCAATGCAACGGTACTTTGTAACTGTCGTAAAAATACCTGTCGCTGCTGGATTACTTCAACCTGGAGCAAGTTGCAACAAAAACTTCATTGACCTCTCAGGCTATGAGCTGGCTGATGTCACATATGAAGAAAATCTTGATGTGTCACTATTTAACACCACTTGTCTCAGTTGTGGTGTGGATTTTAATAATGGATATGAAATGATACATTATAAAAAATGCATCACTTCAAAGAGGAAATTTATTTTGGAAATTCATGTAACACTTGTTGCATTCTTATTAAAGTGCTGACAGCCTCTTTATGAAAACTCAAATAGAATATAATTCTGTATCCGTATACTGAAAATAATGAAATAATGATAATGAAATCAGGGCTGTTTTACAGTTTTGACCAAATTCCAGGATTCATAGTAACATTTGATCACCATGTAATGCACTTGTAAATGTACTTTACCTTACATCAGTTAGTCTCTCTTTAATACTTGTCTTGTGAAAACTGCAGCATGTCAGTCATGCCCAACACCTCCTTGTTGCCAAAACAAACTGACAGTTCAGTGTATACAACTAGCCACTGCTAGGTCATTCTGACAGTAGTTACTTACACAGTAGACCCTAAATATTTTGGCAACCAAAATATCGCCCCAGAAATACATGTACATGTACAGTACATGCTGCTTTTAAATGCCGGTACATGTTCATTGTTAATGGCAAGGTTCTTGCGTCTACGATGTATTTTGGCCCTGTGGGGACAGGGTGGGGATATTTCAAGTTTGTCTGACATCAAAATGAAATCATAGGCATGGGCATAAAAGGAAATTACATGTTTGACAGAAATGCTCTTAAATATGGGTAATTCCATTTTTTTGGTGCCTCTGTTATATGTGATGTGATTTTGTAAGTTCAGAACACATTTTCTAATCAATTCCAGCGATACTTCCATGTCAAATAACAAAGGTCGGATGTAACCGGACACAAAAATGTCACACTTTTGGACCCCAATTTTCTGGAATTACCCATTGATACATGCACATGACACAGTTTAAGTTATTCAATGAACAGTACTCATAGACGCGACTGATGTGTTTCAAATGATTGATCCAACCGTGATGTTCAGTACATGACCTTAATGTGCAGTAAATATGTACATGTGTGGAGTTAAAGTGCTGACTTTTCTTAGATAAAAAGTTTTCACAACTTGGTACTATTCCTCCATGTATGTAAATATTATTACAGTCCTATTTGGTTAAATGCAATGAAAAGTGCACTTTGCAAAACTTTAAAAATTATTCATGCTTTCCTAGACAACTTAGGGCACTGTTGCTGTGTTGTCAACCAGGGAAGACATCGTTTGGTATATACTGTAGTTTTTGTGTTCAAATTGTAAATACAGAAGTCACTTACTGAAAACATTTCTGAGCATGCGATTAATGCATGTTTATTGCTGTGCACGTAGACGAGTCAGCAAAGAGGAGAAAATTTAGCCCAGCAAACTTACACAAATGCGGGACTTTTGTTTTCAACTTCAAGCTAATGTAACATTAAAGCTTTCTTCCTGGGATGGTATTACAGTTTTGCTCATAAATATGGAAATACCAATAGCATAAAAATCAATATGCAGTAATATACCGATACCCTCTGAAGTTTGGTACTGAAAAAAAGTTGATACACTGGTATTAAGGTTTACTGTGATACAAAAGTGCATTTTGAAGAACTGTACATGTATTAAAACAAATTGATTGCAGCTTTTTCAAATAAGGATGTTTTTGAGAAGGACTGTTACGCTTACCAGATAACGGATACATGTAGGTACATGTACAGGTGGAAGGTCCTGCTAAACTACAAAAATGTAGAAAAGATGTTGGATTGGTTGTATTGATCAATTATGTTTTCACAAATATTGGAATTGTAATGTTGACTTTATTCCCTACTGATGCTGAGTACCAGGTATACAATGTGTATATTTTGTAACCAAATGCAATACACATTTTGCATTCCTTTTATGACCATACAAATGCAAATTGTACAAATCCTCTCTTATTCCTAAAAGAGCTGAGGGGAAGGGAGCAGCTTGTGGAATACATAATCTGCAGTGAATTTTTTTCAGCAGCTTTTCCTTGAGGAGTTTTTACACTACCTTTTTGTGGTCATTTTGACACCAATTATGTGAAAATCAAATAATACCGTTCTTTTTGCACTGCGGCCATTTTTTGAAAACAGGTCAGCCAAAAATGTATATTTGTTTCCTTTGTGGTGCTGAGTGCACTTGGGCTGGCATGGTTGTAGCCTTGAACTGCAAATGACAGTAACAAAACCGTATGTCTGATTGACTTCAAACTCCACATTTGTAAGGTTTAGGAGTCTATGTACAAGCATGCCAAGATTTAAACAAAACTGAGTGTGGCGCAGCCAAGTCCTTGGCTTGATGGGCCAAAAATAACCCTGCTCTTTCAGGGTTAAAACAAATTGAATTCCCCCTTCAACAAACTGGAAGACACTCAAAACCTGTTCACATACATGTACCGCTACATGTGTGGGAGCAGCAAAGATAACAGTAGAAGCAGACCCTATGAAATAGAAGTCTGTTACAAAAGATGCTGAAGAAAACTTCTGAGGCCCTTTAAAGGAACCACATGTACATGTATGTATCAAGGGATATTATTGTGAAGGAAGCATGCAGTACATGTACAGTACATGTATGAGTACATGTACATGTGTGCTACAACTGTAAGCTTTGATTTACCCATTTGGGTTAACCATGATTTCAGCCATTAGTTATTTGATCCTCTTTCCTCAGGTCCAAGGGAAATGTCTCTGCGGTCACAACACAGAGGGGAACAACTGTGAGAGATGCCAGGAATTCTACAACGACCAGCCCTGGCGGCCAGCCACGCATGGCCAACCCAATGAGTGTAAACGTAAGTTACCTGAGTTTTTCAGTCAGTAAAGTGTTGTATACATGCAAGCTTGAGTTGAGGGTGGCATTTTCCTCTAGTTTGTACTCGGAACCCCCAAAATCTTACCTCTCTTTGATCAGGTGGTCAGCGTTATCCTCAAATCCTATATCTAATTGAATCAGGTCAGGTTTGATTTCAAATCACACATAGATTTCCCTCATATTGTTCAGTCTTAAAAGTGAGAGTTTTGTATGCCTGCAGATTGCCTCAGACAATCTTGTTGGTGCTTTAGATCACACCTGACTGACCAAGCTGTTTTGCATCTCAGTCTGTGTTTAATTTATTATTTAAGTATGTTTAATCTAGGGTCACTGGTAACAGTCATTTGTTTGTAGCATTAGTTAGTGTTAAAAAGTGGGAAGACTTTCCAGTCATTCTAACATGAACATGAAATCTCATACATGAAGGTATGGTTGGTATAACCATCAATGTGGCTAACCTCAATAAACTATCGTAGACAAGCCAAATCATTCTTAATAAGGGTATGTGCTTTATGAAAGATAGTATCAGTTGCACAACTATTAACTCTCATTCTTAATGAAGTTTGCCCTGTGTGCATATTTTACATTGACTGTCAGCAATTTTTTTCACAATTTTTTGTTTCATGCAAGTAAAAATGTCTGGCTGGTGATCCATTTGATCATACTGGTGTGTCACAACAATTACCTCTGAAACCTTGATGTCATTTTGCCTGACCAGGATGCAATTGCAACAGTCACACTGATCGCTGCCACTTTGACCCGGCTGTCTTTGAGATCACCAACGGTGCCAGTGGTGGGGTTTGTGACGACTGTCAGCATAACACCATGGGCAGGAATTGTGAGCAGTGCAAGCCATTCTTCTACATGAATCCAGACAGGGATATACGGGATCCCAACATATGTGTCCGTAAGTATGAGGGACCAAGTCAAATAGGGAGGATACTCACTGAGCATAAATCATAAACACAAAGCACTGATTTCTGTCTAGGATTTATTTTAAAAACTTCACCTTTGAAGGAAAACCTCTTGTGACATTTGTCTTTGTTTTTAAAGTAGAATTCCCTCTGAAATAAATTCTTTGACTCTGAAATCCTCTGATATCCTTTGATATTTGAAATATCTGAAATAATTTAAAAAAGAAATGTAATTACTGGAATTTTTCAAATAGAGCAGCCTTTCCAAGTATATACAAATGTGCATTATATGAGAATCAATATAAATAAATGTTCAAAATTTGATTGGAAAAAAGGAAGCTTCAGCTTTTGAAAACTTTCATTTCCAGAGAGTTGTGGCAATCCCCGAAGTCGTTAAGGGCGACTTTTTTGAAAACCCTTAGATCAAGTACTATGAAGAAATAAGCCTTGTTTGCAACCATGTTAAAAGTCACACTCCTACTTGTAAATCATAGTTTGTATGTTGTGTGGGACTTGTCTACATAGACTCAAAGCCAAAACAATGGATGGCACATAGTGATCACATCCAGTGCGTGAGACATACCTGGCTGGTCTCTACTGCCCTTACAAAGCATTAGGAAGGGTAAATGTCCTTCCCAAACTTGGTGAAGGAAACAGGTCACAGCCACTGGCTTGCAAAACATGCTCACATGGAAGTGTTGGCCTACATTATTGCTCAAATGAACTCTCTCCAATGAGTGCTTGACAAATGTTAGGTCACATATTTGACTTTCCCAGCACCCTGTAAGGGTTTGTAGGGACAAGTGAACAGACATGTGCCACATGCCCACCCTGGCTGTGGAATACACACAATCAAAAAGTCACCTGATTGTGCACAAATCCTGCAGCATCTTGTCGTTGGTGCTAGGCACAGGGCAGTAAATGATTTTCAAGTGTCTGCCACATTTCTTTGTCACTTTTGAGGGTAGTAGATACACATGTGCTTGTTCATGGGGTCTGTGAATGTACGTGCATAAAACGGAAGCAATAAGCTGAATGAAGAACAATTTAAGTGTGAACTTTGCAATAGGTAGGCAGTTTTGTCCTGTGTGTATGTGTACCTTCAGGGCAAGTAGATCATTCTCAGTCAGCATGATTTACTCCTTTTAAAATAAGTTCTTTTAAAAAAGTGTTCTTGTAAATTACACTTCATTTTCACACCTCTTCCACACGATGAGAATACTTGTGTGGTTTGTTGAGATCTAACCATCCTAGTATGTCAAACTGACATTTGTTAATATGCAGTCACTCGGACCTGTACCTCCAGATCTTTTGAGAGGTAAATCACTGTGTGTTTATTCGTCTTTATTGTACAGTGCAGGTCTGTGAACTGTACCAAGAGCTTTAATGCAACAGCATTTGATGCAGAATACAAAGAACGATTCAAGTGTACAATTAACCAGTTTGCATTTAATTAAACAACGTACTGTGGTGAATAATGAAAATGATTAGTTTCTCATTTCACTTTATTATTGAAGTGTGTTAGAAATGATATCCATAGAAATGATACATGTATTCTTATTTCATAAGTGAAAAGTGTGGAAGCAAAAGTGTGTAAAGAGATATAATACAGATCATTACACCAAGTAAAACTACATGTATTGGCTTGATTGGTGATGGTTTTGGCTGGTTCCCACTTCTCAGTATTCTGTGGTTCGTTAGGTTCTGTGGGAAATGAAATGTTAAAATTCCAGAATGTAATTTAACCACTACCTGCCGGGTGGATTTCTCTTGAGCGGGATGTGATGGCGGGACCTTTTCAAGATTTTCTGTTTTCAAAATTCTTTAAAAACTCATTTGTTAATTTAATGGACGTTTACACCCACACGAACGACTCTCTGATGGCTACTCTAGTCTGTCAGGCACCTTCATTGACGCCCGAGTATTCAGCTCAGGCCTGCAGCCCTGTAAAAGAGAGCCCAGAATTGTGTGGGGTTGCATAATTTCCTTTGTTCCGGTGAATGCCAGTAGCATCTTTTCATACGCAGCTGGATTAGCGAGCAGCGGCGCTGTGTTGCTCATTAGTGGGGCCCTGGAGCACTTTTGTCTGCAATGCTAATCCGCGGGCATACTGTTTCAAAACAGTGCCAGATTACATTCAAAAAATGGAAGGCGAAAAATGATGGCAATTCCCAGCAGCAGGTCCTTTGTTCCGAGTACAGTCTTTTGTTACACAGACCAGCTCTCTTGTCTGAAACCGGGCACCCCGGCTCTGTGTATAAACACACGGTGCCTGAAACCGGGCTCCCCGGCAGGAAGTGGCTAAACTTATCTTACGTAAAATTACTATGCAGTGAAATGACGTGCAGAAAGGCATCTGTTTCCTGTTACATGTACATTACATGTGTGTACAATGTACTTCCCTTCAACATGAAATATTCATTCATTTTTGTTGTGATAACCTGTTTTGTCGTTCAAAGAAGTTGAACCTCCTATTAAAAAAAAAAACAAACCATCAGTCTCCTTATTTGTATTTATGACGTTCCATGTAATTGGTTCTAACTTGATCAGTGTTTTTGCTCAGTCTTCCACTGTGCAAGATACGGAATGAATTCTGATGGAAAAAAAGGAAATTAAAGGAATTCCAATGACACTTTCTTTGTACTTAAACTTACTAAGGGTATCAAGCCCTGTAGAATATTACATGTACATGTATGTGTACATGTATGTGTACATGTAACTGTGGCTGGGCTCTGTCTGCCTCAATCCTACAAGGTCTTTCAAAATTATCTTCAGGATTTGGAAGAATTTAAGAGCATTACAATTAATATCTAATGTACTGGATCGGCTGCTTTTGATGGGCCATTTATGATTCCCTGGGAGTTGTATAATTTACAAGAAAAATTCCCAAATAACCTTCAAAAAAATTTAAAAATTGGGATGCAGAATGGCTTTGGATAGAAGGGAGAAAGAGCTTTAGCTCTCCAGATGTGAAGCTTTTTTTGAATATGTCAGAACAGATGCAGTAATAAAGTCAGGCAATTTTGAAACTCTACACGTACATCATTTACCATGCTTCTTTGCTGCATGATTTTATTTTTTAATTTACAACACAGCTTGTGACTGTGACCCAGCCGGCTCAGAGAATGGCGGTGAATGTGAGAGCCATACAGACCCTGCCAATAACCTGATTGCTGGCCGCTGCATCTGTAAGCGCTTTACCACGGGAGTGCGCTGTGACACCTGCCAAGATGGTTACTGGAGTTTACGAGCTGAAAACCCAGATGGTTGCCAAGGTAACCATTCGTTTGGTACAAAATATCCTCGTTACTGTTATTGGTCTTTAAATGTCTTAACTGATTTTTATTGGTGTATACGGAATGAGAAATATTTGAAAACTGAGTAATGTTGACTCATTCTATTCTGCTAAAATACCAGTAGTTGAAATTTCTGTTCAATTAGAGGAGATCTTATTGAGTTTGGGGGTTCTGTTTCTTTCATTAAGTTTTAAAATATATCACTTCATTTGCATAAATTTGAAAATCATAGTTTGCCTTTTGTAATTTCATTTTTTTAGTATGTTGTGTTCAGTTTGTTTTGTTGGAAAGTAGACTTTTTATGTAGTGTTTCATGACCTTTAATCATCTGGCTCATATGTGACCTGTCATGACAAAATGAGAGTAAAGTCACATCCCACTCTTTTCTATTTTGAGAGTTCAAAGTCATATTGAAGTGGAGGTCAATTTCTTGGTTTTGTAATATTTGGAAAGAGTAACCCATCTCCTATTTAATTCCAAATATTTTGCATCATCACATATAAAAAAATGTCATTTTTTCTATGCAATTTTGACGATAGCATTATTTGTGTCTGGTCTGAAATGTTGCAACAATGTCGGGAACAAAGACGCAAAGCTGCCAGAATAATGTCACATTGTCACTTTATGCTTTTGCCCTAAGTGTTCCATGTACATGCCATTGGAAAGCTCTCTTTCTGGTGAACCCAAAAATACCAGTATCTCTGTTCTTGAAAATTCCGACTTTCAGCTCATTTTGTGGTGACAGGTCACATATGGTCAGCACATGACATTGCAGTGTGACCTCTGGCAGGACTTGTAATCCTAGTGTGATATCATTGCCACCTTTCTTAGCTGACCTGTGGCATGTACTTGTACCAAGCCAAAGGTTTCCTTGACTTCATTTTTGACTGAGGATCAAGTTTCTGTTTGGAAAGCGTGGGGTCAACAAAATTGAATGGGATTTTCCAGAAGGAGCTCAGAAACATGTGTTTAGTCTGAGAGCAATATTGCTGGGCCTGTAGCATGAATCACACCCTTTTAACAAACAGTATTGTCAAACAGCACTCTGTATTGCACTATGCATACGGTAATGGCAGTTTGCCTTTCTATATAATGTGTCGCGACCATTCTACATGTATATAATGTGTTGCAACCCCTTACATTTGATTATCAAATTCTATCACTCTGGTCATTCAGCCTTTCAAGTAAAGACAGCTGCCATTAAGAAATCCACTGAAATTTTTAGCAACCTCAGAATATAAAAAATTGTTGGGTTTGAGAATCTGTTTGAAAAAAGCAGGTATAGATACTGAAATTGGCAGGCTGTGTTTGTGGACTCTCGAAAGTGGAGTGAATGGATGAATTGCATAATGATCTGTTTCTGTCATTAGTGAATTGGGAGTGAGGAAATTGGTACCTCACAGTGGAGAGTGAGTTTTTAATTTACACTAGTCTCAATAGTAATCCAGACAAAATCAGACAAAATGTATCCCTGAAAACCATTATCTTTTTGCCTTAACTCTTTCTTCCTGTAGCCTGTGCTTGTAACACCCTGGGCACAGAGGGTAACAGAGGCTGTGACAAACAGACAGGCAACTGTGTCTGTAAGCGATATGTTACTGGTCGGAACTGTGACCAGTGTTATGTGAGTACAATTGTGTTATGTTAGTACAATTTCTACATGTGTACTTCGAAGTAAGGGATATCAGAAATCAGTGATAAGTTCAGTTGCAAACATCAAAAGTGCAAACAAGCTCCTGCAGTGCTCAGTTTGGTTCTGGGTGGCTGGAAAGAATCGAAGCTTCTTGTGAGTACGAGTACGTGGATCCTGAGTCAGGACACCAGCACTGTTTTCTCAATGTGGTGCTTTATCATATATCACTATCTCAAAGACTATGCATTGCATTTTATTACTGTTCTTCAGAGTATGTGCATAACATGCTGGTATTTAAAGTGTATTTGATGGAGGATACCAGACACAGTGTCTTAGGCAGGACTCTTTAGCCAAGTAAATCAGATGAGATTTTCAACCTTTACCAGCATCGTTTGCTCTTTTGATGACTGCTAACACACAGGACTGCACTGTTAAGAATCAACACTTACAAAATATCTCAAATAGATGATTGTTTGAGGTGTAGACAGGTGCAGTCCGTAGTTTTGTGAACTAAACAATGTTAGGCCCTTTCTTTGCTCCTTTTAGATGGATCTTTCACTAGCCTTTGTGAGAACTTTTTCTAAAATAGATTTGATAACCAGACCTAACCACAGCGTGAAAAAACACACAAAAAAGTCAATAGCCTGTCACTGTTTGGATAAGGAATTGGCATGCTTTCCTGTTAGATATTTCTGTCTGGAAAAGCCGGAAGAATTAAAAGGCAGCATGTGTCGTAGATTTATTTGTTTATGCAACAATCTGAGCATACCTTTAGTTTTGTTGATGGGTTTTTTGAGCGGGGATAACACCAGTCGATTCACTGTTAAGGGACAGTGGTTTTTAGATATTCAGTCCACATTGTTTCTCAAAAACATTTGTAACTGTAACATCATCTTGAACAGTTTGTTCATGCCTGAGCCACTTCGTTGCCTGGGCTAGTTTGTTTGCCATCAGTACCTTATAATAATGCAACCCTTGGCGAGGATTCCTGTGCACTTGACATTTCAGTGGTCCCTTCCTATAATAACTGTTCATGTGAGAAACAAATACGAAAAGAGGTCAGCACTGCCACTTTGCCATGTTATGACACAAAGCCCTTACATTTTTTACTGTATTTGCAGGAAGGTTACTACGGACTGAGTGAAGATGTTTATGGTTGTAAGTATTGCTATTGTGACCCTGGTGGTGCTTATAACAACAGCTGTAACCGCGACTCTGGCCAGTGTTACTGCCGACCCCACATCACTGGCCGACAGTGCAATCAGGTGGAGTCAGGCTACTTCTACACCTTCATGGATTACTTCTTGTACGAGGCTGAGCTATCCCGAGTCATGACAATTGATGTAAGTCTCCTCTTCATTATGCAGATTGACCAATTTCTCACCTGAATATTTGGTTTGTCTTTTGCCTGTGTAATGCTGAAGGGCAAATCACATCCTGAGGAGTTGCATTCATCTGATGCAAAAGTTACATCCACACCTTCTCAAGTAATAAGGAAAGCTGTTTTTTTTTTCTACAGAAAAAGGCACTTCAGAATCTCGTCAGTTACTTTCGATGGAATGTTTTTACTATTCTTGGATGTGATGCATTCTGAATGATGCTTTCTGAGAATTCGTGATAAATGAGAGCTCGTAAAAAATCACAAACTTCAAGTGGGACTTAAACCACAACTTTCCGATTTCAAGAGGAGATGTTTGAACATTTGTCTACCATGCCTGTCAGGGTCTTGTTGGTTGAAATCTGACTCAATAGCAGGTATAATCAGTAAATGACGACAGAATTGTTCATAAGGAGATGTTTTACCATTTAACAAAAAGATTCATCAAGCAGGATATGCCCTTAGCTTCTGAGAAGTACTTTGAATTTCCATTCCAACCCACCCACAGGAAATTCTATTTATAACCTGTGTGGTCTGAAAAACATGTGGTAGGAGGCAAACTTCCTTTTCATGAAGCGAATGGATTGAAAAATGATAGTGAGCCATTGAAACAAATGAAACCATTGTTTAACTTTTTTTGTTCTTATTTTGTTGTTTGATAAATTCAGTTTAATGTAAGATAAGATTTTTTGAGTGAATAAAAATGTGGCATTGCAATGCAATTTTTTTAAGAGTCAAATGTTACCAGAGAATACAAGTAAGTCCATATTTTTCCTGTAAATGAAAAACTGTTTTCAAATCCATTGCATTTTCTGAGTTTCTGTTGCTTTTATTAAGCATAATCTATTGTTGTATTTAATTCTTTTTTAGACTGTGCAACTTGAAACCCGAATCCGTGATGAAAACACTTATGTCAGCTGGACTGGTTCAGGATTCCTACGCATCAGTGAAGGTGGTCAAATTCAAATTGTGGTTGACAACATCCCTGTGTCCGGTGATTATGAAATTGTCCTACGATATGAGCCATTGGTAAGTTGGAAATAATGGCTTTTGGAGGTATCGAGAGTTCTTGGTTTATAAAACAGAGTCAGATTTATGATGAAAGGCTTTATTTTCCATTTTGAAAGTGGCTTACTAATTAATAGTCTCCCTCACTCAAGTCTGTATCAACTGGTGAAAACCTTTTTTTATTAGTCACAAACTATTGAATCTCAAATCAAGTGGCAAGCTGTTTCAAATGGCCTTTGACAGAGGCAATTGGTATGTGATGTACAGTCAACTTTGGTAATACGAGCTCGGGTAAGGCGAGACTCCGGTTTAGGCGAGCATATTTGCCAGTCCCAACTGAATTGTGCACATTCCTATGAGGGAAAAAATGTGTAAAACGAGCTTGAATGCTACGAGATTTTGGTTAAGACGAGCATTTTTTGCGTGCTGGGTGAGTGCAAATCTATTGTTATCTGTCTATTTAGCGCAAGCTTTTTGAAGGCAACTTGCCAATCAGCCAGTCCATTCAATTTTGAAAGGTGCTTCCGTGATTTATGCGTATACCCCGGAACAGCCCTGTGGTTTTACCTCGCCGAATCAAGCCGTTTGTGTCCGGTGCTGCAAGAGAAAGAACAATGGGCATTTGCGGTTCCTGTACGCAATGTAGAAATTCTTTGAGGCGGCTCTCGAACTGCCTGAACACAAGCGAGTGGTGAACAAGAAATCTTTCGTTGATTCCCCGCCCCCCAAAAATTCCCCAAGACCAAAGTCCCCCCAGGAAATTAATAAAAATTGTGTGCTGTAACCAAACACTCGGCCCAAAAAACCGCCCAGCCCCTGTCAAAAATCGTTACCCGCTCCCCACTGTAACATGAAAATATCACTGTTTCTGATTTCGACGTTTCTTCTTTCTCAGTTTAAGAAAATCATGACCAAAACCTGGTTTCAGTCCCAAAATGTTTAAGAAAATAACATCCACCAGTTTTGAAGGAAAAAGTGCATCTCTCTCTCTTCATTTTTCACCAAACCCACACACCTTTCTCAGGTAAAATCCGATTTTCACCCTCTGCTGTCCACACCACCAATAACTGGCTTCCTCCCATTTTTATGTGCAACAAGCACAGCTGTGGTGTTGGTTACCAACTAAAATGTTAATGCACTTACGTTACGTGTGTGCATATATGGATCTCGTCACGGTGTGCGGGGCCAGGTACGTGTGGTATGGCATTGCTCCAAATCGACATGACTGGTGGAAATTCCACTTCCGCTGTTGTTACATTTGATAATGATTCTTTATTACAAGTCTTTATTCATTAAACTGTATCTTACTTTAATAAACAAACTTTTTAGAATCAAATTCATAAAAGAAAACGTACGTTCCTTTAAACAAAAAGTTATGCATACTTGTACACATGTACACTTTACCTACGGTCGATTGGTGATACATACGTCAAGCAGGATGGCAGCTTTCGTGTAAGACGAGGTCCGGATAATATGAGCTAATTTAGTAAGTCCCAAGGCCCTCATATTAACAAGAGTTAACTGTGCTTGCCTGCAGTACTGCTTTACCTCAACTGCTTCTCTCTTTGTCTATGCATCCTTTGCACATTGGAGGAATTCCTGAATCTTATGCCTATTTAACAGGATTAGTGGTAAGGTTTACATATATTGTATTTATTTTTGAGTGAGGTTGTAGTGTAATAGTTCTTTGTATCATTATCAGCTATTGACTGAAAACCAACCATGAAGGTTTTTGAATTTCCTTCCTCCAGATTGCAGGAACTTGGGAAGACGTTCGCATCAGCCTGACACGTCCAGGGGAGATTCCTACTCAGAGTATATGCGGTAACACCATCCCTCAAGATGACCTGCTTGCTACCAGTTTACCATCTGGCAATAGGTATTAAGGGACTTCATATTAACCAGACGATGGGGACAGGGAAGCAGTTCTTTTCCTGTTTCACATCCTGCCATCCTACATTGACATAATGAATTTTTTGAAAAGAAATTGATTTGGTGTATTCAGTCTGGACTAAGGACTTGTGAGAGGAACATTGAAAAATAAAATGGCTTTGTTTGGCGTACTTGTGAGAATGTGTGTGGGACACGGTAAATGTACGTGGTGGATTGGACAGCCAATTTTCGTCTGAATCTGCACAATCTCAGAGCATCTTAAGTGTGTCACTTTCAGTGAAGGTTCTTATGCTCAGAGTTCATTCTAAATTGCCTGATTAGCAATAAGAGGTCATCCGTATTTGTCATCCTTTTCACGAGGATACGAAACATACTTTTTCATCTGACCCCTCCCAAAAATGTACATAAAAAGCGTCACGGGCTGTGAACCCTTCCAATCTTTATTGTTTTTTTGTGTGAAAAGATTGAAAAATGAATGGGCCCTACGGTTACATCTGAATCTTGTGTGTAGCGCTAGGTTCAGGTCTTCACTGGTGGACCCATACTGAAAGCAGACACAACTGTTGCTTTTGGAGCCCGTTTCAGACATGGTTTGCTAAACATTCTGTTTGATTTCAGATACAGCCTTCTGTCCTCCACTTTCTGTCTGGAGAAGGGAAAGATGTACATCATTAATGTGGATTTCAACAGCTTTGGGGGTGGGGCACCAAACCCTAATGCTCAGATTCTCCTGGATTCGGTGAGAATTTGTTTACAGTCCGGAGTGCATGTTGTTTCAATGACACCATTGTTTTTGGAGGCTCAGGCATCTCTAACATTGTACTTACCTCCCAACATGTGGTGTACTTGGCTCACAAAATATATCATACATCTGGGTCATTCCATGAGGTTGGGGCACAATTTGTTATGGTGTCATTTGTAACATGGTTTCGTAAAAAGGAACACTTATTTCCCTGCAAGTGGATTCCACATTGCCATTGTTATACAGCTTGCAATGCTGAATACAGAGGTGTGTGTTCATTTTACGGAGTAAATGACCTACTCTACAGGTCATGACAGGTGGTACAAGTTACCCATGTAATCAGGACACCGTCACAAATAAGCCATTTGCGAGTTAAATTTGAATAAAATCTGGTACACTGTGTTATCTGATTGCATAGAAACGTAACAATTTGAATTCCCCAGACTAAAGACACTGTTGCTATACCTCGTGATTCGTGGCAAGCTTTTGCATAGCAACCACGATCTTTGGAATGGACTGGTTCCTTTGTGCCGTTCCTATCCATTGAGAACAGTGTATTCTTGCAAGGCGTCTCTTATGCAACTAAGCAAAAGCTTGCCCCGAATCACGAGGTATAGCAACAGTGGTTTTAGTATGGAGAATTCAAGTTGTTATGTTCACGTGAATTTAAAGAGCTTAGTGTACCAGATTTTATTCAAATTTAACTTGCAAATGGCTTGTTATACCCCAACCTCATGGAATGACCCATCTAGCTTCTTTGTACTTGTTTGAGCCTCTTTGTTTATTTGTAGGGAACTGTCCTTGCCATATCATTACAGGGTTTATGTAGTTCACACAGTACTTTGTTTGCAAGCAATTAGTAATTGTACAACTTGATGTTCATGTATGATTCATTAACCCTAACGGCCAACTGCCCCCAATCCTCCCAAATCGTCAGATGTTTCTTGAAGATGTCCTGCAGAGGGTTGACCACCACCTCAATCCTTCAAAATCCTCCAGCAATTCCTCTCATTATATTCAGGCAGTGTTAATGGTATTGAGGGGCAGTATGGAGGATTTCATGTATAACTTCAGCATGAATTTATGCATGGTGGGAACATAGACAATAAGGTCTAACCCCAGAATCGTAAGACAGTGCATCTAAAGCCAATGATTTTCCGTTTAAAAAATAGGTATCTTCCGTTTCGCCAAATTTCCAATACCGCTTCAGAAATTCAAATTCCGTTTCATACCTTAGTAAGGATAAGGAAGCAGAGCAAGTTGAAATATGCATGCAAACCGTTTGCCCAACCTTACTCCCCCCCAAAAAAAGAAGGAAAAGGAACAAATATTGTTTGAAAATACTCTGCAGTGTTTCCAACTTTTTTATAATTTTTCTGTAGTGAAATTTTGAAAATCCACTCAATAAATATGGCATCCTCCCTTGATTTCCCACACGCGCAATCGTCAAAAACTTACGATTAATCAACGGATAATTCATGTGTCACTCCTCGTTCGCATGCAACAGTTGTTGATTACAATAATGTTAATGTTGGACATCGACCCGCCATTTCATTTGGCAGTGGTACAACTAAATTCAGAAGTGAACATTAAATCTGAACCTTAAAATGCATGTTTGTGACTGAAAACTTTGCTCTTCATCAAACATTTCTGAGGGCCCATTCAGCTATTGTAATGCTAAACTTACAAGAAATATGTAATTAGTCTTCCATTTTGTTGCTTTGGTTTGATCATTTCGCCATGCGGTACTAGCCTTGTCTCAAGGCATCTATGTGGATTCACAGACTGAATTCCCCACGGGTGCAATAAGCATAAGTGTGAGTATGAACTTGCTTGCACCTTGATTTCATTGCTAGTACGGTGCACGTGTGAACAGCTAATGTGTGTACCGTACCGCACCGCTGCGCTGTGCCAGCCGCCGCTAGCACTGCATGCATGGGGCTCATGCACGCTATAGCAATTGCAAGTATCCTTACCAGCGCGGATGACCCACACATGTGGTGGAGTGGTGCAATTAAGCATGTTTCCGGCATTATTCATTCGTTAAAAGCAAGCATTTAAGCCCTTCGCGCCGGGACGCAGATAGAG